ACCACTTACGGAGAAGAGTTATACCCATGAATATCAGGAGATTATATTTTTAGAAAGAGATAGATAATATGTTAACGATAATGATTGACTGATTTAGAAGATGAGGAATATTCACGATACCACTGATAGGTGAATAGCTGATGAGAGATTAATAGATGATTAGAAGATGATTATTTATTTAATGATGATATTGATAATATGTAGAGAAGTAGTTTTGATTCTAAGATGGTACTTATCAATCTCTTTGACAATTGTGCTTAATACTATTCACTGTAATATTTAAAATTGACGAGTGATAGCTCCTCTCTCTAATTTTGAAATATAGAAAAGATTTAACTTTTCATCTTCTATTCGATACCCTGCTATCAAGTCCTATAGTTATAAACTCAATACTACAAATAATATGAGTAGCCACCGTAACTAGCCAGAGAACAACTCATGAGGCTTTCAAAATTTAAGACGATAAAGTGATGATTTAAAACATACTACTTATTACAGAAATAAACAAAACATAACAGGATAGTCTTAAGCCATTTTATTAAAATGTTTAAGAAAGAGCTTTTTCAGAAATTCTAGAAGATAGCAGAAAGTAATGTCTACTTATCTCAAAGAAACGCAACTCAAAATTAATTTTTATATCGAATATATTTATTCATTAACAATATATAATATATATACAGCTATATCAAACATCATATCCTTAATCAAATGCGAAGCCATAGGAAGCAGTGCTGAGTACAGATGCACATAAATTCCAGCCACCATAGTAGCGTTAGTAACAGCACCCAATTCCACACACTGTATGAGACATCGCAACTCTTATTTACAGCCGTTCTTAAAATTGTTGTCACAGTTTCGGTGTAGTAGAGTCAACGAACAAAACCAGGTTGACCTTACTACCATCTATAGGAGCACCTTTACCAATATAATCCTCACTAATTATAATATTAAGAAAATAAATAAATTTAAATCGAATAAAAATAAATTAAAGTTTTTATTATCTTGTATGTATATATTCTAATTTTAGAAAGTTGTAATACATTTGGGTGAAGAATACCAGACCACAAACTATAGGATACTTGAAACCAGAGCAGGTGCTCTAATACCTTTCTATTAGTAACATATGATCAATAAATGATTTCCGTTCACGGTTTATACTGTATTTACCTAACGTAAAGTCATTTGAATGATGTAGTCTTCCCATATAGCCATACACACACCAATATTGATTTCTTTGAAACAGATTGAGAATCCATATTTGTGAGAACTTAACTGGATACGTGCAAATAAAGCACTTCCATATTTACATGGAACATGGTGAGAAGTGAAATATCCTATTGGAGGAAGCATCAAACCCTCTTCAAACATTATCTATACTTACTCCTTTGCACTTATAGAACTTTATTTCTTCTTCTAAATTTAAAATAAAAGTGAATTATTTATATTTTGTGGAAGTTGATTTAATTTGAAGGGTTAAGTGGAAAATTGTCTTCTGGCGAATTATAACTTGATTACCATATTCTTCAAAACTAAAATTATAGCCTAAATATAAGGAATAGCTTACTAACTAATCGCAAAGATACATATTATTTCCCATGTATTTATATCTCGATAGATTTAAGAAATATAATCATTATCTTCCTTTAACGACAAGAATTCTTTTACAGTGTATTAGAAGTTTTGCAAATATTGTAATAAGCTGATTTTACTAACAATTAATTTATTTACACCGTTTATTATTATTTTGTTTTTACATACGTATTTACTAAGTTTATGATTTGTTTAATTTATTGTAGTGTATAGCGAATAGAGCAATATGTAACTGGAACGAAGTAATACCAAGTTTAATTTATTGTAGTGTGTATAGCGAATAGGCCCAAAAGTAATTGGGTAATTATTATAGAAACGCTACGCACTTTTGAAGACATAGAAATCAATGAGGTAATGCATGAAAGAACAGAACGTTGACGTAGCTGATAGTAAAGGATGATTTGTTTGGAGGTTCTTTAATTTTTAAATAAACAAACACAGAAATTTTAAAGAAAATGGGGAATATTTATTATCATTTGATAAAGCATTATTTATCTTTTATTTTTTCAAGATAATCTCTTTTGAATATTGAATGCGCGGCTACGTCTCGGTGATCCATCCATTGGGTCCAATTTTCGATGACTCGTTCGAGCATTTCGACTGGTAACTGATGAATGACAAGCGTGATGTTTTGAATGCCTGAATCGAGCGGGATTGTCCGCATAGACTTTAGACTTTACATATCCCCACAAGGAAAAGTCTAACGGGATGATATCACACGATCTTGGTGGCAAATCGACCGACCCAAAATTGAAATTATCCGCTCAACGAAGTTTTCTCTTAATAAACGCCATTGACGGTTACGTTCTGACGGGCATCATTTTTGAAGAAATATGGACCGATCCACAGACCACACCGTTGTTTGAATAAACAGCTCTTGAGATTCTTCAGGTTCCTCTTCGTCCCAAATGCGGCAAGTTTTCTTGTTTACATACCCATTGATCTCATCGATGAAAAAAATTTGGCTCTAAAACACATTCTTTACGGAACGTGAATTTTCGTAATAAAGTTGAACGATTTGTAAACGTTATTCAGGCGTAAGTCTCTCCATGAAGAAAAGCCAAACAATATTAAACAAGACTAAGATGACAGATTGACACAACTCATGCGTAATCTGTTTAAAAACAGTCCAAAAACAGGCCTCTACTTGGGTTACCCGTTATATTAAAAATTATTTCAGCTCGCAGAAATTTTTATTTTTTATTTGAAGTGCTTGGGGTATAAGACGAAAATAGTATTCAAGTGTGCAAAATAATAACACTTATAAACTCGTAGTAGATTTATTAAGTTACTAAAAAGTTACTTACTTAAAATGCTAAATAAAAATTAATGGGGTCTCAATTGATTTATATTTAACATTAAAGAGATTAAATAAAAGTGGTAAATTTATGAGGGCAAGCCGATTTTTCAAGGCTAATTTGTACTAATTTGTTGCGTCCTAACCCGCATTGTGTTGGTGGTAATGTACTTACATATCTTACAAATTTTTGAAGCGTTGCTATTAACTTGAAATGAAGTAAACACCGGCCAAAATCAACCCATTTTAGCCCAAAAATAGGTAAATCATAAAACGGTTTTGTTCAAGAGAATAATTCCAGAAATGGCAAATTTAACAGTAAAGACGAGTATGAGAGGTACTTTATTCAAAGTACTTAGTACGTAACAAAATGTTCATTCTTTAACTTAGGTTAAATTAGTTTACTTCAGGTAATGTTCTATAAAAGAGGTCAACGCTAATATGCCTAGATATTTATATCTAACCCTCGGCATGAATTAGAAACCGCTGACAATACTCAAATATCTTAAACAGTTAACGGAAGGGATAAAATAAAACTTTTTGAAATGTACTTTAAAAACTTTCTTCTGAAAGTCTCCAAAATAGTTTTATTAATTTTATCTAGGCTGTTCGAAATATGTTGCCATTGTGTCTTCAGTGTGATCGTTGTAAAAGAAAAAGTTGTGGAAAAACAATGAAACTCGATTTTGAATACCTAAAGTCATCATTCGAATGTTAAAAAGATTCATTTATTTTAAATCGATGCACTTAAAATTAACATAAAACGTAATAAATTGCCTAGGACGATTTGATAATGTTAGATGTCTCTATTTATTTTTCATTCCGTTACCTCTTTTAGCTTGCACTGGCTAAAAAAAAGCTTAGCTGTCTTCGATTCAAAACCGTTAGTGAGCTGCGAATTGAACAAACCATAACAGCGTTTTAACTTCCTTACATTTTGATATTTTTACATGTAATTTTTAACAAAAGCACAGCGCCCAAAGATAGCGACCCGATAAATGGCGAAGTTTTATTGGTAGTATATATGCGTTTATATATATTAATAACTGTTAAAACAAATGATACGATGATCTTCCAATCTGAATTCATTTGTTAGAAAATTGCATTATGTTTGCAGAATATACTTAAAATCGGAAGGGAAATTGTTTCAAATTGAATATACATAATACAACTGTAAAGAAACATTCGTTCTACGAAACGTTATCGGAAAGTTTAAAGACGCTTTAATTGTTGTATCGATGAATAATGTTATCGAACTTTGAATATAAAGGACATAAGACATTCGTTAATAGTTAGTTTTCAAAGATTGAATGACATACGAAATATGCCATTCCCCTTTCTTGATTACATATTCTCTTTTTCTGTCTGTGTAATATACTAATTTATCCGTTAGAAATATTAAACCCTAATGCAACTGGAATAATTAAAATTCTGATTAATTAAGAATTACCGTATATTTCTAGTAACTTATGTATATTCGTAATAATACGCTTCGGCAAAGCTAATCGATATTTCGTTAAAAAAGCAAATTTGTATCATTTTTATTTTATATTTTTACAACGTCGTGTCAAAGTTATCGCTATTCATTTTAATCAACATTATGCAACTATTTTGCTACTATTATTGTAGTTTGTATTTTCTGATACACTTCAAAACACAAAAATAGTCAGGTTTCCACTTGTTATATAAATTGGTTTGGATTGATTCAAGAGTTATTAGTATTTGCTATTGACTTAACAATGAAAGTCGTAATATTTTTAGCAATCTGTGCTCTGATTGGAGGTAACTAACCGTTAGTTGTAATCAGTGCATGAAAATGTATTAACCTAATTCTTAGTTACTTCCGTATCCATTCCCGAGGAGGAACGTGTCAGTGGTGAGAATGGTTGGTATGTTCCTCAAGTTGATGGCTTATTGGTTTGGGTGTCTACCGAGGAGGGTGAACAAATGTTAGCAGATTTAGAGAAGAAAGAAGAAATAGAGGGCCGCCTTTTACCAGTACCAGTGACTTTCTACCTTTCCAGGAATAGCAACTCGTCTAAAGAACAAAGTATTAATGAAACTATCAAATCCATTACCGATTCCGGCTTCGATGCTAGCAATCCAACGAGGTACGATATACATTGGTAGAAAAGTGTTTTAAAAAGCTGGTGATACTAAGTACATAAGTAAAACCTCTAAATTCTACAGATTTATTATACACGGTTGGGCTCAGAGCTACACCGCCGGTATGAATACGGATATTCGTTCTGCTTGGTTGGGACGTGGAAATTACAATGTGATCCTTGTCGATTGGGTACGTGCACGTTCCGTTGATTATGTGTCTTCTGTTGTTGCTATATCAAGGACTGGAGAAAAGGTGGCCAGTATGATAAACTATTTGGTCGAGAACTTTGGTATGAGATTAGATGAAACCGAAGTGATTGGTCACAGCTTGGGTGCTCATGTGGCCGGTTATGCGGGTAAGAACACTAAAAATGGCTTGCTTCACGCCATAATCGGTTTGGACCCCGCCCTACCACTCTTCAGTTACGATAAAAACGACAAACGTTTGAATGCCACCGATGCTCATTATGTGGAGTCCATTCAGACCAACGGCGGTCAATTAGGTTTCCTGAAGCCAATTGGTAAGGGCGCTTTCTACCCGAACGGTGGTATGAGGCAACCTGGTTGTGTTTTGGATCTAATTGGTAGCTGCAGTCATGGTCGCTCCACCGCTTACTACGCCGAGGCTGTGGCACGTGATGACTTCCCCAGCATGCATTGTGTTGATTATCAAGAAGCGGTGAAGGATAACTGTGGCAGCTCTTATAGTGGTGTGAAAATGGGAGCAGTGACAAATGCTTATATGGTGAATGGTGAATATTATGTGCCCGTACATAGCTCTTCACCTTATGGTTTCGGGTGCGCTTAAAATAACTACGCATATAGTGATGATAATGACTAATGAGAGGGGGAAGTCGGAAATCACTATATAGGGTATATTGGGGGCATAAAAGGTCTGTGCTGATTGCACAAATTTTTGTCATTACTCAGGTATATTTGAAAACATACTTTAAAGCAATTTTCTAAATAAAGTTTGGGTAGCTTGTTATGAGTTTCACATATTTTCATCATTAAACTAAAGTTTATCCAATATTATACGTTCTGTTAATTTTTCTAAGACATGTTACATATTGACCGATATATACGATGTGAAGCGAACCGGAAGTTTGAAGATCATATATTTATTAGATACATAGGGGTATTAATGTTAAAATTTTATCCATTATTTTGCTACATATCATAAACAGAAACAGTTGCTCTCTGATTTTAATTAAGGTAAGAGTAAAGTCCATCAAATGTTTGAAAATCTTTATAATAGTTATAGGTCGCCTGGTTTTAATAAATTGGGCACAAAGTTGAACGGTTATTAGAAAAACACTATCACTTAATTTTTTAACAACTTACATATTGACCGATATATGCAGTATAAAATCAAGCGGAAGTGCGAATATCTTTAGAGTAGGAACATAGTTATATGGAGGCAAAGGGATTCATCTCATTTTGGACAAATAGACATATCATTACAAGGAAAGGATTCTCTCCGAATTTTAATAATATATCTAAGAATTTTACTGGTATTTTCGGTTAAAAGTTAGCAATACACACGGGGGTCCACATATTCAATATCTGGGGTCTTGGCGAGTTTTTCTCTAATTTTAAAAATTTTTAGACGCTAAATGGCATATTTTAAAGACACTATTTGGACAAAGTCTAATCCTGATATATTCATTGCTGGTTGATTTGTATATTGGAACAATCAGAATTTAGTGTTGTGTTATATGGGAAATAGGCGGAGTTGTAATCCGATTTCACCAATTTTCGTACTATAAGATTAAAATATTAGGACATTCAGGGTGTAAAATGTATTGTCTCTAACGGGTTAATATTGTATATTGATGTACGGCACTTTTAGTAGTTTTTAACATAACCGTTATTAGGGCAAGGTTATCATCCGATTTCACCTATTTCAACATTGTTGTAAAAGTTTTTAAAGAGATTTATCTTGAGCAAATTTAAGTGTTATATAAATGGTTGGGGAGATATATTCACTAAAACTATAAGAAAACGGAGCCACTCTCATTTTTTTTAAACTACATATGTCTCTGTCTTATGCGATTAATTCTGCGAAATAAGGATATTATATTTAATTGTGGAGCTTAGTTATTACAATTTATAAGTTTTTGTTTATTTGCGTTTTCTGGCCGTGACAATGGTTTGATTAATTGTATTTTGCAATATCAATCTTCTGACGATGCTAAAAAACGTGTGTACCAAGTTTCAGCACGATATCTCAACTTTTACTAAATTTACAACTTGCACAGACGGACGGACCGGGATTTCAACTCGTTTTGTCATCCTGATCATTTATACAACATTTCTAGCAATATTATAACAATGTAAAAGTTGAGATATGATTGAACGGCGGAGTGTGCAGCACTTGCTATATGCACTTACTATATTGCACTATGCTTAAATGAAGTACGTGTTGTTTTATGCGAAGTTGGTCAGCTTTACAAAAATTAAAAAAATGTTGTTCAGTTTAGACTACGATCCCCTACTATACTGCAAATGGCGTTGAGGGCGTATCTGAAGTCAGTTGCGTCCGTAGTTTGTTCGTTAAATAGGGCTATGTCGTCGATGTACTCAAGAGATGATCTTTTAGTGCTCCGATCTCCTAGGCAGCTCAGCTCCAAGCAGATGACTGCATTGTTTTCTTTAACCAGAAGCTTACAGACCTTTCTATCCGCATGTTCTATGGGAGATATTAGGAGGCATCCTGTACTTTTATAGTGTGCAGTGCTCTGACACGTTAAAGCTTCTTGATCTACATTAAGGCGACCATATCGGTATTGCGAAATTAATGACTGGCAACCGGCCGGCCTTGTAAGTTTTCTTGTTAAATTGATCACACTGTCAAATCGATTGATTATCTATTGTGATGTCTTCATGGTGGTGTGATCGTGGTAGTGTTGTATTTGTGTGCGTGTTGGTGCATGGTGTAGGGATGTGGAATGTATGCTAAGTAGGTGTGGTGATGTGGATGTGAATTGATGTGGTGAATTTGGTGTGACAGTGTCTTATAGTGAGGGGGGGACTAAGGCTCATTTAGTCATCCCGGACCCCCTAAGCAAATGATTAGCCTAGTAGTCGCTGCAGCTGTTGTAGCGTTGCCACAACGCTGCTAAGCCCCTTGGAACGACGTGGTTATGGTCTAGGCTGTCAACGCCGCATTGATGCTCCAATCTGCGGTCGTACCGTACGAGTTGGCGGTTGAGGTCGTGTTACGTGGCTGCGAAGGGCAGGTGGCCGACCAACGTCATGCCTCGAGGTACGATGAAGTAGCGTGTGATGTGGCCTGCTGCAAATTTGGCACAGGTCCGTGGACTCACACATTTGAGTCCCATGCGTAGGAGTTACGTACTCACTAAACCTCCACTGTAAAGATTAACAGCAGATGAGTAAACTTGTATGTTATATTGCTATTATATAGACTCTCAAAACCTGTTTTGAATGCACACACATATGATCATATTACATTATATATTTAGTTATACATTTAGCAATACACTACCTATCCACAGTTAGGAGGTAGCGTGATTTTTGTCATAAGTTAATCTTAAGATCAATTCGAATGAATAAAGTAATTTTATGTTGTTATTCATATAACTTATGCGTAGGCAGTTTAGACAATGCCCGTGTGTCTAGGCAACTTGCTGTCGTGGCAACGGTCGCATACCTTTAAAAATCCCACAATGTTGCAGGCGGTGTGGGCGTCGACACATGGGACATCGTATGCGATGTGCCTCTGAAGGCAGTGATGATAGTGTCGGTGGTGGTCGCGTGCCAACACGGAGAGCGGGTGCTGATACCGGTATCGGTGCAGGTGCTGTTGCAGGGGTAGTTGCAGCTGCAGCTCGGGGCGTTGGGGAAGGCCCGGTACGTGGCACGTTGATAGCCGATCGCACAGTTGGCGTAGGAGTTATTGGCGTATCCACATCCATGTTAATCTGTGTAAAAGAGTTGATTGATTATGCAGATCTGTCATATAAACAATATAGATGATCGTGCCACGCTATGTGGCATGAATGGGTCGTCATATTGATCGACCATATTTTATTAGTTATTTGTTATTTTAAACGGTTATTAGCGAGTTTTTGGGTTTTTTGTTTATTGATTTGATTATTTTATTGTAATGCGGTAGTATCGGTTGATTATTTGCGATTTGTTGCGTTGCTATTATCGGCGGCTGGTAGAAAGCAAACTTCACGAACGGTCTGGTTAGCGTTCCGCTTTGCGTACGAAGATCAACGACTCGTATGTGACCGTCGGAGCCGTAATGTAGCTTTTCTATGCGGCGAAGCCGCCATTCGGTAGGGGGCAATCATCATGGATGATGGCATAATCTCCAAGTTTTGGCGTTTGTTTGGAAGTCTTCCAACGGTATCTTTTATGGAGATCCTTTATATATTCTTCTTTCCATCGATGGCTAAAATCGTGATGGAGAATTTTAATTCTCTCCCATCGATTTAACAAGGATAGCGACTCCACGCCTGTCTCAGGTATGGCCAGAATGGGTGTTCCTGTGAGAAAGTTCCCTGGAGTTAAGGCTGTGAAATCTGAGGGATCTTGCGAGAGGATTGTTAGAGGCCGTGAATTTAGAACGGCTTCAATTCGAATTAATAATGTTGTGAATTCTTCGTAATTCAATTTGTAATTTCCAGCTACCTTTCAGAAGTGTAATTTGAAGCTTTGTACAGCTGATTCTAAAAAACCACCCATTTTAGGAGCGCTTGAGGGAATAAATTGCCAATTAATGCCTTGGGGCGCGTACTTTTGTACAATCTTGATATTGGTGAGACGTGTTTGATAAAGTCCACTAACTGTTTTTCGGTGGCTCTTTGCGCGCCGATAAATGTTTTACCATTGTCGCTCATTATCTTCGATGGAAAGCCGCATCGTCCGACGAAGCAAATGCGAGCAAATGCCGCAAAAAAAGTCTTCTTTGTCAGATTAGTACAAAGCTCAAGGTGTACTGCTTTTGTCGTAAGACAGACAAAGGCAGCCACATAGCCTTTCATCAGAGTAACTGATAAGTAATGTGGCAAGTCGAGACTTCTCCGGTACAATTATGGGATGGCGTTCATTATATGTTAGGCTTCAATTGACAAGCCGATCATTCACACGAAGAAGACCTTTCTTGTCTAGGAATGGGTTTAGAACTAAGAGGGCACTCCTTTTATCAATAGGTTTTGATTCTCTTAATAAGAATATATCGCGGCTGAAGTAGCGCGCTTGAGTATATGCGATGAGAGCGACCTTTGCTTTTTGTAAGGTTAGGTGCGTCCCTGTATCGCATTGACTCTCTGGGGCAATCATGTTACGAATGGGCGATTGTGGCCAATAATCGGGAGATTTTATCAACCATCGACGGCCATTCCACAAGAGGGTGGTGGTGACAAGGGTTTGCACCCTCTTGTACCTAGACGACCTTGTACGTCTTCCATGCATATGGTGGTTTTTCTAACCAGGCAAGTACAATTTCAGAATCGGACCACAGATACAATTGGTATTTTTCCATATTTAAATGCACTCGCACCATGGATACTAGTTTGGCTATTAATAGCGCTCCACACAGTTCAAGTCGTGGTAGACTTATTGTTTTTAAGGGAGCCACTTTTGTACTAGTAAGTAGCTCGTGGTAGCAGTATCGCTTTGTATGCGAAAGTATAAAGTGGCGCAATATGCCCTTTCAGAGGCGTCACAAAAGCCGTGTACTTCGACTTTGTGCTCTGGTGCATAGTTTACCTATCGTGGGATTTGTATCTGTGAGATATCGTTTATATTGTTCGCAAACTGGGACCACTTTTCTAAACAAAGTGTTTTACTTGTTCATCCCAGTCGGTTCCATCTAACCATAATTCTTGTATTAGGATTTTTTCTTGTATCATAATTGGCGAAAGCTATCCTGCGGGGTCGAAAAGTTTTGCCGCAGAGGATAGAATTTGTCGCTTTGTTATGGCGGATAATGCAGACATTGACTCTGTAATGTATGAAAACTTGTCAGATATCGC